GCCTTATCTCATACCGAGATTACCCGATGCGCCTGTGTCTCTCAGCAGACACACATCACACACTCCCCCGAGAAACAACCTTCCCAATTAACCATTCCAACTCGCGCAGATGGCCGCTTCCACAAGACAGTTCGCCCGCGCGGCGCTGAGAACCTCCGCCAGAACCTCCTTCGCCGCCGCCGCCCCCCGCCAGGCCTTCCGCCAGCAGGGCCGCCGCCTCTACTCCTCCGAGCCCGCTAGCAAGTCCGGCAGCTCGACCTGGATCTGGCTCTCCGGCCTGGCCGTCGCCGGCGCCGGCGGCGCCTACCTCTTTACCAAGGAGGGCGGCGTCTCCGCCGGCTCCGTCCCCAAGGTCGTCAACCCTACAAAGGCCGACTACGAGAAGGTGTACAAGGTCATTGCCGACCGCCTCGAGGAGAAGGACGACTACGACGACGGCAGCTACGGCCCCGTCCTCGTTCGTCTCGCGTGGCACGCCAGCGGTACCTTTGACAAGGAGACTGGTACTGGCGGCAGCAACGGTGCTACCATGCGCTTCGCCCCCGAGTCTGACCACGGCGCCAACGCTGGCCTGAAGGCTGCCCGTGACTTCCTTCAGCCCGTCAAGGGTAAGTGGACCTTTTGCCTCTGAGTCAATCGCAATCGGAAGGACGATCTGGAAGCGAAGCGCAACGTCTTCTGCATTGGTTGCCAATGGAATGAACACTCGCTAACTTTCTCCCGCAGAGCAATTCCCCTGGATCACCTACTCCGACCTCTGGATCCTCGGCGGTGTTGCCGCCATCCAGGAGATGCAGGGTCCCGTCATCCCCTACCGCCCCGGCCGCAAGGACGGCGAGGCCGCCGCCTGCACCCCTGATGGCCGTCTCCCCGACGCCTCCCAGCGCGAGAAGCACCTCCGTGACATCTTCTACCGCATGGGCTTCAACGACCAGGAGATTGTCGCCCTCTCCGGCGCCCACGCTCTCGGCCGCTGCCACGTCGACCGCTCCGGCTTCGACGGTCCCTGGACTTTCTCCCCTACCGTCTTGACCAACGACTACTACAAGCTTCTCCTGAACGAGAAGTGGCAGTGGAAGAAGTGGGATGGTCCCGCTCAAGTAAGCCAACTTTCTTTCCTTCTTGGCCAGCCTGGCGCTCTCGCCGACTTGGCGGGGAATATGAAACACACAAAAAGGAGAGACGGATGTGCTAACGATTTTGACCGCCGCAGTACGAGGACAAGGGCACCAAGTCCCTGATGATGCTTCCCGCCGACTACGCCCTGATCCAGGACAAGGCCTTCAAGAAGCAGGTTGAGGTGTACGCCAAGGACAACGAGGCCTTCTTCAAGGACTTCTCCAACGTCATTGTCAAGCTGTTCGAGCTCGGTGTTCCCTTTGCCCAGGGTGCCGAGGAGCGCTGGACCTTCAAGCCCACTTGGCAGGACTAAAGCAGTCGCTGAATGTTGTTTTTGAGCGACCGACTAAAGGAAAGGAGTAAAAAAACAATATAGCAAAGAAGAGAGACAAAAAGAAGAAGAGGAGAGACTTAGATTTGGAGATGGGAAAGAGAGAGATATCCACACGGAATCGGCGTACCGAGAGGTAGAGAGGAGGAAAGAGTCTGTTCGAGAGAAAGTGGTGGCCACTTGATGTCCCCCTTCTCCTCGAACTTGGTTTTCGAGCGACTGACCAACTTACCTGTAGTCCACTCCTGGACTTGTTTTCATATTTTCGTTGTTTTCTGTCCATAGTTCCTGTACAACATCAACATGAACCTTTGAAAGACTAAAAACACACTTGTTACTGACGAACTGACGAGCTGTCGCCATACAGCGTGCACGAACAGAAGGTGACATGTAGTCGGAATAGAGATGAGATGAGATGAAAGGGGGGATGGGAACGAACTGTCGGTAGTCGGATCGTCTAGACACTAAATAAGGAAAATGAGAATCCCTGGCTTGATGTTCCCCTCTTCCCGTGCATTTTGACAAGTGTCACCACATCGAAACCTGACCCCGGATGGACGGGATGGACGGGAGCCATGCTCGTTTGCGCGTCATGCATGGCCGCGTGTGTGTGGTCTGGAACGAGCAGGTAACAGGTGTGTTCGGTCGGGGTTGGACCAATCCTGGTAGGTGACTTAGTACATCATCACCACCACCCAACCGGACGCCATGTGCATCCTAGCGGCCCTGCTACCCCGGATTAGGGGGAGGGAAAACATGGGGTATCTAACGGCGCGTTCCCCCGCATTCTGTGACCCATGCATGCGTCCTCGTTTCTATGCAGCTTCATGTTTCGGTGCTGGAATGGTAGGTACTTTCGGATGACGGTCCTTATTTCGTGATTGAGGTTAGCTCGTTTGGTGCTTGAACGAGTCTTGATCGAGGACACTCGTCTCATTCATCGCTCGTCTGGGAGCGATGCAGATGTCGAGTCTGCACTGAAGATAGCCCGCGACGGCGAGTGCGCTTCTCCTATAAGAGATTGCCGTGTATGAACCCCGGTCCATTGTTGCAGAAGGGAGGCCAAGCTCGAAACATGCCTGAAGATGCAAACATTCCGAAGCAGGCAGGTAGCTGTGCTCCAGGTCCTGGAAAGTTACTCCGAATCGTCGTTTTGCAAGTCCCGTACACGTAGCATCCCAACTCTGTGGACCTACTCACTCAGCCCGTTGAACTAGATTGGCAAGTATGGGCTCGTTTCCGACAGGCGCCCATCATTTTCGTATACGTCCTTGTAACTACCAATCAGGTGTTAGCCCTTTTAATTCTTTCTGATGTGGCCGGCGGTGGGAGGCATCGATGTCTGTGTAGTTATCTTGTGGTGTGTAATTCTGCAGCGAAGATCCAGATAGCTCGTGGGGGCCGGATTGATGGTTCTACTTTCAACATGAACAGAACATTTTGGTTTTACGGTATTCCCAGTTAGACCGTGATGTGTGGAGGCGGAGTGAAACTTGGGATAGGTATGAATGGGCCTGACGTTCCATGGTCCACGTTGTGATGCCGCAAAGATGAACGGCATTAACAGGCCGCGCGTGTCGCTCTTCGCCCTAGCTTCTTTCGGGCTTTCTCAAGCCTAGTGTCGCGAAGGATGTCTCCATCAGGCTAGGGATATTGGTGGTCCTAAGCATTAGATGAAGCGGAAAGGGGTGATAGCTGCTGTGATGGTTTGAGATGGAACGAGAAGTGTTTCTGTCGGGAGACGGACCAGCCCGGATGACTGGAAAGGATTGCGAAAACTATTTTGAATAGTGTCCTCGTAACTCTGGTCTGAGGTGCGAAGCCAGCCGAGCCCACATCTCTCGTAACACCGGAGAGATTCGGCGTGGGAAGAGACGGGGATGGATATAAGATGGAGAACATAATGTAACCAAGCGGCGGTTTACTCAGGGCGAATTACTCGAGGTGCCTGTGCAAGAGACCACATTGAAACAGAGGAAGCTGATCTCATTTTTACCCGCCATGATGAGGCTATTCGATAAAGAAATAAATACCTTCTGAATCACCGGGAGCTCCGTACTTCATTCAGAGTTCCCGCCCGGCGCAGCTAAAATGCCGACCACGGATTAGCTGCGCCGAAAATCGGCCCCACCATCCGGGGACCCACAAGAGCTATGCAATCGAAGACGCTGCATCTTCAAGTGACATCCACCTCAGTAAAAATTATTGCCATCCAGTCCTCAATCGACATCACCACCAACACATCAACATCACTCCGCACCGAAACCACCCGCGGCCCTCGATCACCGTCCGCATACGAATCGCATACGAACCCCCCTCGAGGGCTACAAACCGAATTGCGACGCCCGCACCCCTACACACAACGTCCACACAAGACAATGGCCTCCTGCCGGATCCCGGCCCTACGGCACCTAGTCACCACCTCCCAACGCGCTTTCCGCGCCTCAAACCAACGCCGCTGGGCCCAGGTCCACGACGCCCGCTTCCTCGCCACGACTCAACAACCCCGCGCCGTCGTCGAAAAGTACCGCGCCAAGCTCGAGAAGAAGGCCCAGCAGGAGGGCGTCTCCAACATTGACGAGCTCAAGGCCGCCTACGCCGACAAGATCCAGGAGCAGAAGAAGAAGGACGCCCTCTCCGTGCCTGGCCTCGAACACCTCCTCAACGACGAGCCCGCGCCCGCGGCGATACCGACGACGGCTACTACAACGAGCGAGACGGGAGAAGCCCAGACACAGACACAAGACAAGGCCCTGATTCCCGGGTCCTCCTCGGGCAACGGCGTCAAACCCCTCGACGAGATCCTCGACCTCCCCAAGGCGCGTGAGCTGCCAGACAAGGAACTCACAGCCATCTGGCGCCTCCGCCACGCCTCGGACCCGTCCTCCCTCTGCGCCGTCATCCCGGCAGCGACCTACGCGCAGATGGAATCCCTCGCCCGCCAGAACCCGCAATTCATCCTCCCCGTCCCGCACGAGTCTCAGGGCGCCGAGATTCACTTTTTGCAATGGGTATTCGACGCCGCCTCGCGCACCGCGACAGTCATGTTCACGCAGCTGGCCGAGTTCAAGGCGCGCGGCGAGTTCGCGCAGCCGCACACGACCATCACGCACCACACCGACCTCGCGGCCGAGAGGGGCCTCGTGCTGATGCAGGGAAAGTGCCTCGAGGACCGCGGGGTCAAGACGGCGCACGCGCAGTGGCTCGTGCTGTGTCTGCAGCGGTTCTACGGCGAGGCCGAGGGTAAGGAGAGGGCCGAGGAGAGGAGGAAGCTGTTGGAATGGTTCCGGTTGGGGGATGAGCGGTTTAGTGTTGAGAAGCTTATGGAGGAGGCGGAGCGGATCAGCTAAAGGTTTGAGGCTTTTTCTCTTGCACGGTGAAGAGGGGGAGGGTATGACTGGGACGACGTCAGGTGAGCAGGATAGACGGCGAGCCAGCGAAGAGAAGCATGGGGATCTTGTACAAATGTTCCGGCAGGATCATGTAAAATCACAAAAATTATATACCATATGCTATGTATACCACATCTTTACGTCAATTTGCGCAACAACTCTCCCTGTTAGGCCTATTGGGAACAAAATAATCCCTACAAATTCCGAGTATGCATTTCAAAGAAGTGTCGGTATCTCAACGGCCCTTCATTTTCTTTTTGCTTTCTGTCCTAAAGGGCTAGTACAATCCCTCATCATCACTAGCCGTTCCATCCTGAAATGTCGCAACGGCCTTGCCCTTCCCCTTTCCCTTGCCATTCGTAACAGTGCCATCATCTTCGGACCCGTACTCATCATCATCGCTATCTAGTGCCAGGGCCTTTCCCTTCCCCTTGGACGACGCGGCCGCAGTCGCCTTGCCCTTTCCCTTGGAACTAGCTCTCGAAACAATCGAGGACGCAGAAACAGCCCTGTTGCCCCCACCCGCCGCGGCGGCAGCGGGAGCTGGCCGTTGCTGTGGCTGCTGCTGCTGCTGCTGCTTGTCCGGCGACCCCTCAAAGCTAGCCCTCACACTCTCGTAGTGCGCAAGCTCGCCGGCACTAACACTCGGCACGAGCTCATTATGCGCATTCATAAAGTCCTCCTCGGTGACCATCACGGCAATGTCCTCTGGTGTGGCGTGGTGATCGAAAAAGTAGGCCGTCGAGATGGGTCCCTGCGGCCTCTCGGCGTTGATCTCGCGGATCTTTGCGTCGACAGCGGCGGCTTGCCGCGTGACGGCCTTGAGCATCGCGTCACTGCATAAGGCGTAGAAGTCGGCTCCAGTGTAGGTGAAGGGCAGGCGGTCCGCAACGGCTTGTAAAGACACTGCGGGGTGGAGGGTGAATCTAAGGGGGAAGTGTCAGTATACCACATTCGCAAAAGTGAGTGGAGCAAGGGCGAGAGATCTTACTTTCGGGTGAGAGCCTCGAGGATTGTCCGCTGCTTGTCATGAGTATCAGACACGCCGAGATAGAGCATCTTGTCAAAACGTCCTGGACGGAGGAGGGCGGCGTCGAGCAAATCAGGTCTGTTCGTGGCGCCAATGACGAAGACGCCGCCACTGGTATCGTCGCCTCCTGACATGCCGTCCAACTCAGCAAGGAGTTGCGAAACGATGCGATCCATTACACCACCGCTGTCTCCCTGGTTTCCACGCTTCGGCGCCACCGAATCCAACTCGTCAAAGAAGACGACGCAAGGGCGGGCATCTCTGGCACGCTGGAACACACGTCTGACGTTGGCTTCCGACTCACCAATGTACATGTTGAGTAGCTCGGGACCCTTGACACTGAAGAAGTTCAAGCTGTACTCCGTCGCAATAGCCTTCGCCAACAGGGTCTTTCCGGTACCGGGAGGTCCATAGAACAAGATACCCGACCTCTTCTTCATGCCCTTGGCGAAGAGTTCGGGTCTCTCGAGGGGCAGCTGAATGGTTTCCGTCACCGCGTCCTTAACATTGGTCAGACCACCGACGTCGTCCCATGTGACGTTTGGAATCTTGGGTGCGCCGATGGCGCCTGCAAAGTTCTTTCGCGCGGCCTCGACCGCGACTTCAAAGTCGCTCTTGGTGACGCAACGCGCCATCGGTCCACCAGCAACCTGAAGGTCTCGAACTGTCACGGTCTGGCCATTGGTATCTGTCTTTGAAGAAATCTGCTCAAGCCTCAGGCGCTGTGCGATAAGTGCCCGGTCAACCACGTCGACAAGGTCACCGGCTACCAGCGCCGCGGTCTTCAGGGCGATGCCATTGAGGTCAACTTCGGGGTCCAGGTTGATACCCCGGTCTTCGATAATGGCCCTCAAGATACCTTCACGTTCAGCTTCGTCGGGGGCTCCCATTTCGAGCTCGTGGCTGAACAGGCCGCGAACTCCATCAGGCACCTTATCAACATCGCTGGTTGTTGCAATCAAGACCCTTGTGTCCTGAAGAATCTCCTTCATTGTTGAAACCAGACGCTCAGCCGTCAAAGCCTCAACATGCCGGATCAGCAAGGCCGTGGTTCCTGGTCCGCAGCTCATTGCTCTCTCGGCTCTGGTTCGCAGGAGTCCCTCTGTCTTCACGTCACTGCCGCTAGTCCCAGCTTCACTGAGGATATCATAGGCGTCGATTGAGTACGTGTGCAGGCCAATATCCGAACAAGCGTCTGATGCGATAGTCGCTTTGCCAATGTTGCGGTGAGTGGCAGTCACCAGGATCGCAACAGGCGGCATCTTCAGGTGGACAGCCCTGGGGCTAGTAGCTGCTGCTAGCAACTCCCGCAGGCGCCGCCGGAGAGGCGAGATATAACGTTGATCTTGTTCGGGAAACGTCAGTGATGAAGCGCTCGGCGCCTTTGATGGCAATCTCTTCACTCCCAGGTAGTATGGCCAGGTATTGGACTTGGTTGCGGGGAGGCGATTCGTGGCGAACCCAGAGCCGTGCATCGCGACAGACGAACTATCGATGCATGCGACCCCTCCCCACAACTCCTCAGACTGATCATTGTCGGTATCAGACTTTGTGAACTGGATATGCCCGACCTTGAACCATGCCACTTGATCGTATCTCGACGACCCTTCTTTCGACAAGGCCATCACGTCGTCCACTTCCGATCCATTGCCTCCGCTGGGCTGCTCTTGGAGAGCTTTACCCAACTGTGTGTCGATGGGCACGGCGATGAGATCGCCAGTCCGTACAAGTCGAATCTTCTGGGCAAAGTACCGCTTAAGGCCACCCAGAACCGCCGACTGATAGGCTCGTTCCGCGGTCACGGGCGAGCGAACATGCTGTATCGTGATATCGCGTGCATAGGGGGGGCGCGAGGCGCTCGTGAATTTTGGAAGAGTCCCCTTTCCTTGGTACGTTCCTCGTTTGATGGGTGCTAGTCTGAGATACGAGGGCTCATCGAGGTTTGCCAACAAGATTGGAGAGATGTACGCTGCCGGACTACTTGGCTTCTGAAGTTGAGACTCGAAGAACGACAGCCTACGTTCGCCGTGCTTTGCGCTCGGTATGCGCGTTACTGGACGCTGAGTGTACCCCTCTGGCAGGCCGTATACTCGTACAGGCCTCCAATTGGACTCGGCAGGCTCGAGTGATGTGAAACTGCCGAGACCAAACGCACCGAAACCATTTGTGGGGGGTTCTTCGGCAGCCTCGACGCGGACCCAGTCTCCTGAAAAGCAGCCAATCTTGGATAACGAAGATATGTCTACAAAGATTCTAGCTTCATCATCGTCCTCCGGTGCCGGTTTGGGATGAAGAAGGTCCACGGGAATAGTACGAATCAGCCCCTGAGCCTTGAAAAGTCGACCTCGGGGCCGGTCCGGACGGGCCGTAGTTGCAGTGAAGTTGGAAAATACAGAGACGGGAGTGGCAATTCCATTGGTCTTCCGCCCTCTCCCAAGGGTCATCGGAGTACCTGGCTGCATTGTGGACACACCACTTGCCGCGGTGGTAGGCAGCGTTGGAGCCTGCAGAGAGATCATGTCGTCCATGGAATCATCGGAAAGGTCGTCATCCTGATCGATACCGGAGAGTTCCGACTCCTCTGTTTCGGTCACGGAGTCTATTTCCGTGTTCGCAGCATCGGTCTTGTACCGGTCTTCGGCAGCCGAGTAGAACTGGTCATTGGCCGTGTCGTCCTCCTCATCCTCAGGAACACCATTCAGTTTTCGGTTCGGGGGGATCGAAGGAGCGACCTGGCCGCGCTTTGTGTGTACTCGTCCTCGCATCAAGATGATTTTGGTGCTCTCGGATAAGATGCCCTGACTGACAGGCTCGCAGAGCATAATCTTGCCCGGGTTTGGGGGGATATGGGTGACCGGGTGCGGCGGGAGCGGCAAAGGGAAGAGGTCGCCGGAGTGCAAGACCTTCAGGCTCCCCAACGCGACACGCAAGGCCGAGATCAGGCGGCCTTCAGGAGCATCGGGGCCTGTGGGACCTTTGCCATTTCCATTGCTCGGGTGATCGCGATAAAAGGTGCCTTCGCCCTGCTCCAAGCGCCTCGTCAACTCGCTCTCCAGGCTCACATATACTGTATCGAGAGAGAGGGTGACGACGTCGAGTATCTGGATTTCGATACCGCTGCGGCTGTTGCTCGAGAGCTTCGATGGCGCGACTTGTTGGAGTATTGTGGCAAAGTTCTGCAGCGACAAGGACGAGGGCGAGAACTGGACGGTCGAGGGCTTGAGGGCCGAGGATTTGACGACAGGCACTACGGTCCAGGCGGTTTCGGTCGCGGTAGGGCTCGGTTCCCAAGGAGCGATGGCAACGTGATGTACATCTTCGGATCCGTCTTCGTGAGAGAGTGCTGCGCATCAATAGGGTCAGCAGTTTTACATGCGAGGCCAGTTGCGATGGGCGCATCCTTACCATCACGGAGGTGGGGGAAGAGGTCTGCGAACAGGTCCTCGGATACAATGCCCACGTCTCCCCTTACATCGTGGTCGTCGAGGATCAGCCTGGCTGATATGGCTGGCTTGTCTTGCCTACGTCTTCGCGCTCTCCTGTTTCTTCTCGCCTGAGAGGGCGGCGCGAGTTCCGAGGTTGTCATCCTGTTGTTCGAGAGGCGTTTATGTGTATGGCAATGGGTGTAGCGCAGTTCAGATGCACATCGCACAGAGGGAGGGACAGGAAGTTTTGAAAGCCCGTAGGGTACAGAAAAAGAGACAGAACCGCGGAAAGTTGAACAATCAATTGATGTTGGGGGTATCACCAGTAGTAGGTTTGCGAGGCCATATCATGGTCTCCGCGTTGACAAGCTACGGTTAAGCTATCCAATGGTCCCTGGACCGGGCTGTAGTCGGGGCCCGCCCATCCCCAGCTTCGGCTTGGGGAAGTCTGCCTCGGCATTGGCGTGTTGCCAGCTGCAGCCGGCTCACCTCCAACGGTTCCAACCTTCTGGGGTCTCCGCTGAGGGCAGCACAGTTGCACAGGCGCGCTCTTGGTCTCTCAAAGTCAGTCAAAAAACCCGTGTGGGGGAGATTGTCTGACTAAGCGTCCGGGGGTTGGGCGTCAACCCCGAATAACCTCCGATCGCGTGTCCGATAACGCTCCTACGACATCCAGAACAGTTTCTAGGTAGATGTTCAATACAAAGACCTCAATATCCGAATTCTGTGCTGAGCCTTACATGATCCAAGTTCGGGATTCTAAGCTACTCTAGTAAAGGGTAAAGCCGTGAGAACTTGAGATGACAACACGTTCGAGACTTGGGACTACATACTGGCCCCGAAAGATACCTACCTAGTAGGCAGCACAAGGAAATCCAGCCAGCGACGGAATGCCGATGTCTATCGCAGGAGACAAGCAAACAAGCAGGCATCAACAGCATGGCGAATCCCACGCTGCCATTCAGTTAGCAGCCGTTATGTGCATTGCTTGATTCGCGGCTTGAATCCGCACATGATGACGACGAAGAATCCATCCTCGGGAAGCAAGGTACCCAGGCGGACCGCCCTAACCCAGTCGATGGAGACAGCAGAGGCTCCAAAGTTCAGACTGCTCCGTTCAAAACACACACAGCGTCACAGCCTCACCTTGATAGAAACACAGCCAGGGTTTGCAGGGCAAGGTGGCCATCGCAGAACCTTGCTGTGATGTTCTCAACACCCTTCATGAAGAGAGATATCCACCTGCAAAAAGATTCAATGGTGTTTTTGTCGATATGTCCTGCCACACAAATTCAAGTACAGCCATATAGACAATATGATATGAGAATGGACTTGGGCGAGCACAAGGCATTGGCTGTGCTACTGCGGTCCTCATTGGCTAAGGCAGGCTCCCTTGGGATATGCTATTGGGCTCTATCCATCACAAGCACTCGCGCTCGTATTTCGGATGCTCAGGTGTGTTTAAGATTTTTCCATGATCGGATGTCATGAGCAAAGTTCATGGCAGGCGCGCGGAACTCGAAAGGTTACGACGATACCTTGAGTGAGGGAAAGGTGATTGGTAGACTAGTCGCCAGTTTTCAGCTCATCCCATTTGCTCGTGTCTAGTGAATCCATGGTATAGACAGAAACATTCAAGATCGGGTTCATCAGGCTCAATTGATGCTACGAGGGTCCGTAGATATCAATGATGCTTGTTTCGCAAGAGAAAAACAAGACAGGATCGTCACATGCTTTTTCGCCCAAGTAATTTCACAGCGTCTGAAGACTGTCACCCAATCATAGCACGGCCTTGAGCAAATGCTCCGAACAACGCACACAGCAATGACGCAAGCGGGGCTCCTCCCTGTCTAAGCCGCAGATGCAGACTGTAGTTGCACTCTCTCCCGTCTCTCAGCCCCGAGTCGCTCTCATCTTTCCCGTCCCTTCGGCTGGCTGGACGCTTCCGAGACCTCAAGGCTCAGCCGGCAGCGGCTGGTCGGCACCTCATTTCTCACTCTCCCGTCGTCTCTTGTTGTCTTTTTTGTGCTGCAGTCAAAGGAAATAACAGGGAAGGGAGGCCCGAGAGAGGCGCCAAACAGAGTTTCAAATGGCAGCGGCTGGGCCTCGTGGACTCCAAGGTCTCTGCTTCCGTCACCCGTGCTTCGAATGCGAGGCGCAAACTTCGTAAGGCATGGCCAATGTCACCCTGGAGCATGAGAATGAGCGCGATGGAATTCGATCTGGACCAACATCGACGTCAATCACACCACGATTCTTGCGGTGAGACCGACTGGTCAACAATCGAGAGTAATATTTTTTTTCTTAACGACTGCAACTTGCAAATTGCCCCTTATCTTTGTTGGTCTCTAGTTCGCCTCTCTCTCCCTTTTCATCCACCCGCCAACCCGTTCGTGCCGTTTTAGCTGCTTTCCAATTACCAGACGAGGACATTACTTTGAATATCCCTACCCGTACATCCCCAATTTACTCTCACGCCCCCCTACCCTCCCACCCTTCTTCGTCCCAGATCTACACTTTTGCTTCCCTGCCTTGGACAACCCTCGACACCATCTCCGTGATGCCTGTTCATGCCATCAGTGGCTGTGAAAATCACTTTTGACAAGCAGAATTCTCTCTCAATCAATATCTTGCCAACTTCATCTCATACCCTCATTCAGTCGCGCAAAGAAAGCGACCATCCTCTCCCTGTCCGCGCTCGAATCCTCTCAGAAACGAAATTGTATAATTGTTGCGTTCGTTGCCGATCATCCTTTTCCTTGCGCGACCGTCGCATACCATCTTGTAACCCCCAAACGCCATGGGCAACTTTTCCGAGTCCCCGGATCGCGGCCGAGACCGATTACACGACAATGGTATCGCACATACTGCTATCGAGTTCGCCCAGCAAGCCGAGAAATTGTCCCTGCAAAAAGGCGAAAGCAACAACAACGACTCCGAGGTTGCCGTCGAAGCCCGCTTCGTAACACCTCAAGATCCCGTCATAGTCACATCGGACGGCAAGAGACTACCGGGTGTACCACTTCAAGAGGCGCACAAGTTGAACATTCTCAAGGAAGAACTTCAAGATGGTTCAGCTGTGGCCAAGATCAAGGAGGGAAATGATACAGACGGAAAGATCGCAAACGCCGGTGTGATATCAGAGAAACGAGAGAGGATTGTTTCTCTACCGACCGATGCAAATGGGAAATCCATGCAGAAATCAGGGGAAGCGCCTCTTCGTCGCCAAACACCTCCTTCACATACTAACCCATTGTTTCCGCCTCTGCCTCTCTACGGGCCTCCGTCAATATTCCGCAATTTCCAATGCATGGTATTCCGTGTTTCGGCATTCTTCCTCAGTCTGGCTTTTCTCGGGGTCATTGTGCTGGGGGCACTCTTCACCAGCATCCCACCGCTGTGCAAAAGGATCTTGTATCGTCTGACACTGCAAAATCCCGACAAGAAGAGGCCCTTCCACGAAGAGGAGGCACGCAGAGCCAAGTGTCGCAAGGAGGAGAACAAGAAATGGAAGCGCAGCAAGACCAGCGATAGGCTAGGTAAAGTGAACGAGGCAGCTGATGAGTTTGTTCCGACTGAAGGAGGGCCCGACCCGATCGTCTGCGACGTGGGCTATTACGCTCGCCGTGTTGGCCTGGATGTCGAAGAAATCGAGGTGCAGACCGAGGACGGCTTCCTCATTGACCTCTGGCACGTATACGATCCCAAGGAATACACGAGGATGAGCGAAGACGATAGGTCCGACAGAGGCCCAGACATCTTCCAGTCTTCCAAGAAGAAGCTGAAGGACCCCAGCCAGAAGCGCAAGTTCCCGGTTCTACTCATCCACGGTCTATTACAAAGTTCCGGCGCATATTGCACAAACGACGAAAGTTCGCTTGCCTTCTACCTGTGCAAGTCTGGCTACGACGTCTGGCTGGGCAACAACCGATGCGGCTTCAAGCCAAAGCACACCTCGCTAAAGTACACCGACCCGAGGATGTGGTGCTGGAACATCCGACAGATGGGCGTCTTTGATCTACCGGCGCTCACATCACGCGTGCTCTATGAGACCGGCTTCGAAAAGATTGGGTTGATCTGCCACTCGCAGGGCACCACCCAGACACTGGTCGCACTCGCCAAGGAGCAGCGGCCAGACCTCGGCGAAAAGCTGACTGTCTTCTGCGCGCTCGCGCCGGCCGCCTACGCCGGTCCGCTGATTGGCAAGATGTATTTCAAGTTCATGAGAATCATCACTCCGGGCATGTTCAGGTTGATGTTTGGCATTCACGCCTTCATCCCCTTCATGATGCAGATGCACCAGCTGCTTCACCCAAAGGTTTATGGCTGGCTCGGTTACAAGGTCTTTTCTTTCCTCTTTGACTGGACGGACACGAGGTGGGACCGCGGTCTCAAGGATCGCATGTTCCAATTCGCACCCGTCTATGTCAGCGCGGAGTCGATGCGCTGGTGGCTGGGCAGAGAGTGCTTCGCGCGGCACAAGTGCATCCTCTCAACAAAAGAAGACGTCCGCGCCGAAGAGAAGGAGGACAATATCAACGGCCACGATATCAACAACACCAACGGCAATAGCAACACGCTCCGAGCTGACGATGCGGATGGCGTCATGTCGCAACGGACTGTGGACGACCACGTCCGCAGACCAAAGGGGTCCACAGCCTGGTACAACGAGCAAGTGCCCCCATTTGCTCTCTGGGTTGCGGGCAACGACGACCTCGTAGACGGCAAGAAGCTCCTCCGCCGCTTCGAACGCGGGCGCGAGCCTCACGTCAACGTTGTGCACAGCAAGGTCATACCCGAGTACGAGCACCTCGACGTCATCTGGGCCATGGACGCGCCGATACAGGTGTTCAAGGAGGTGCGCGAGGTGTTGTGGAAGACATGCGATGTCAGGGACGCGTGCCGGGTGCCGGTGGCGTGCGAGGAAGTTGAGCAGTGGGTGCAGCCGCCGCCAAGGAAGCCCGCTAACGGGGCCATGGAGGAGAGCCAATCTAGCAGTGACGAGACTGAATAGAGGTTGGGTTCGTATGAGAAGCGGCAGTGGTCTCTACTAAGCTATGCCATGTCTGTTTTGTGGGATACACTCTTGACTTATAGATACACAGATTTTGGCTATCTTTTGAGCGGCGAGTATCGCGAAGGAGTAAATGGTGTTGGCGCATTGGAATGCACAACTTGGAAATAGGGATATCAGACGCATAACCTATGAGTAATGGTAATGAAATGAGCTTTCGTAACGCGGGATCTGGATACCACTGCCACTGATTTTGGAAAGATGAGCACACAGATAACCACATCAAACAAAAGTGCAAGCCTTTGAACAAAAGCATATGTGTGCCTGATTCAACGAGGTGATATAGTGAACCGTTCCAGTCGAAGACGTCACAGTTTGAGATGAAAGTTGCAAAATTTCCCCTCAAAAACATCAAACCACCCAGCCTCGCCTGCAAACATCAACCAACATCATCCCATCCCGTGAGGCCAACTACTCTTGCACAACTATGCGTCTCCCACAGGCTTCCCATCGTTCTTGGGCTCTGCCGCTTTAGGTCTGGAAGCTAGTTCCGCCTCCTTCGCCTTCGACCCGCCAGCATCCTCCTTCTTCGCCTCAGCGGCCTTTGGCTTCGTCTCGGCTTCACTCTCATCCTCGTCTTCTTCACTGTCTTCGCTGCTGTCGTCGCTATCATCTTCATCTTCATCGTCGTCGTCTTCGTCATCATCCTCCGCAGGCGATGCCGTCTTGGCTTCCTTCGCAGGGGCCGAGGTCTTCTCTGTCGCCGCAACCTCCTTTGGCACAGCTGCCTTCTCCGCCACGGCGGGCTTGGCAGCGTCCTCAGCTTCCTCCTTTTCTGGCTCCTCTTTGATAGCCTCGGCCTTCTCGACCTCAGCAATCTTCTTCCTCTCCGATTCCTCCTCCGTGTTCGATTCCTCCTCCTTCTCCGGCTCCTCTTTAATGACCTGGGTCTTCTCAACCTCGGCAATCTTCTTCTTATCCGACTCTTCCTCGTCGGAGTTCTCCTGGCTAGGCTCCTCCTTGATAGCTTCGGCCTTCTCGACTGCGGCAATCTCTTCCTGCGACGCAGAAGCCACCTCAGCGCCCATGTGGACTGTCACGGGCTTATCGACATCGGAGGGCTTCCACCGGGCTGTTGTCGGCGACTGAAGTGTCTCGCGCAGAGCGTCTGGGTTGGTTGCCGTGGTGGTAGCGACACCCCAAGAGCCCGTAGTTGGCGATTGAAGGCCGAGGGGCTTGGCGCTCTGGGCCGACGAACCACTGCCAGTGCTTGCTACGGAGGGCTTTCGGGGCGTTTCTGGGGTTGCGGTCGTAGTTTCCGCAGCGGCTTCGGCTTCGGCCTTCTTTTCGGGCTCGACGGCGGTCGTTGTCGACGCGGACGCAGCTGCAGCTTCGCCCTCGGCTCTTTTGTCTGCGGCTGCCTGTACCTTTTCGCGCAAAGATTTCAGCCGTATTTCCTTAGCCCTCTTGGCTGCCTCGTCGGCGATGGACTGGTGGGACGCGGTAGAGGCACTCTCGATAGGTGACTTTGGCGTATTGACTATTTTGTCTTTGGCAGGCGCCGCGGTGCTTGTTGCCTCGTCCTTGGGTAAGGGAGGCGCAGGTGGTGGCGCAGGAGCGGATGAGGAAGACTCAGACGCAGAGGCAGCGGCAGCGGCTTTCGCTGCCAACGTGCCCTTTGGCACTTTTTTGATGATTTTCTTCTTGACGATTTCCTTGGGCTTATTGTTGATATCAGGAATGGTAAATTCGTCGTAGTAGATCTTAACATGTTGCTTAAGTTCGCCATATTCGTTCCATTCTTCGATCTCGACGATGTCCTGGTAGAAATCCTGGTGTCAGAAGATAGTTTCTCCTTACCAAGCCTTGCCTAGCACCGGGTAAAGGGGTGAGTCTTACGCCGAGGACGAGGCCTTCTTGTATGAGAGCTGGGAGCTTCCTGGGTCGACCCGAGGCATCTTTGCCGGCGCGGCGGCCCCAAAGCATGCGGGCCTTGTCATCGGTGGAGAGATCGATGGCTTTGAAGGGGACGCGGTTGGCGCGCAGGATGGTCTCGAGACGGGACGTGGCAGTCACGATGTGCATATTCCCAGCGGTCAAGGAAGTGAAGATCCACAGGGCCGGATCGGTAGAGAAGGTGGTTGCAGTTAACTGCGCCATTATGCTGGATTTGGTATGATTCGAGGCGGGTCGATTCGATGGGATGCAGGGAAGAGCTCCTATGACTGAGGAGAGGGGAGAAAAGGGACAGCTACTGGGAAGCTAAAAGGGGTCAGACTCGATCAGTAAAAGCTCAGGAAATATCGAGATGCAGATGGGAAGAATGGCGGCACAAGGGAAGGGAATATGCATGGTGGGGGAGCCTTGCATTACGTACCTTGTGACTGATTGTTCTTTGGGGTTCTCGATGACATGTAGCTAGCTGCGTTCCAGTGAGACGATGCGGTGCTGCATGATACGCCGGTAGCGGTTCAGCGGCTACTGGTGGGGGGTTCCACGCAGATGAAACTCGAAGGGTCGTGGCTGGAGACTGTTCCCTAGTGCTCTCATCTACAGCGGCTTGTGGCTCTGCCTTCGAGTCGAGAAGCTTACCTAAGGCATGCGGGGGCGGGGTAAGATACATAAGGTAGGTACCTTAGGTTAACTCCGTACGGATTACAGTCCAGCTTATAAGGTATGCTGGCTGTCTCTCAACTCTACGCCGTGAGGTTGAAGATCAAAGGAAGATGTTCAGGCTCATGTTCCCTACCTATCTTCCCCTCTTGCCTGACTGAACGCTTGATAACGCAGCTGCGCCCGATGAGTCGAGAATTTGCAAAGCGGCAGGAGTGAGGTGGCTTCCTAAATGAGCTGGCAAAACAAAGCTGCAAGATGAGGTGTTCAAAAGTGGAAAGCGTCACGCGATAAGCGCCGCCCACCAACTCGGTTCCTTCCTACCTTTGCTCTCTTTTGCCCACGACTCCAGTGCCATCGTCTTAACAACTCTTGAACAACTTCTTCCACATGTGTTCAGCATGCATTTTCGGCTTGACATCTCCAGGCAGCATCACTGCCGTGACAATTCTCCAACGCATCTACAGTGCCAGGAACTTTACCACTGCGACTTCATATTTTCCACACGGAAGATGCATACTCGGGACCCCAAGCCCCAAGAAGACTTCTTGATCTCAACGACGACACAAAGAAAAAAAAAAGTCAATAATCTTGGTTGTTGATGTTCCTCTTGTTACTGGCATGCCAAGAACAAGCTTTATAGGTTATCTATTGGCACCATATGACATAGCAGCCATCAGCAAGCTACGACCAAATGGGAAACAGCGCGATCTTGGAGTGCTTTGGGCGCTAAGGACGACATCAAACTGAGCACGACAACAAAGATGGTACCCAGCCAGTTTGCCGGTGATAGAACAGACACAATGGCAAACTCAATTTGACACCGTCTAAATGGCCTATGCGCAGTCACTTAGACGCCGATTTTGCCGTTGAATAGGTCGACGAAGTCATTCACACTTCATTGCAAACAACCCCAACAGGGAGCCCAAACAACCGCAACAAGGGCCTCCTTGCAGTGAGACGACTCCTCAATTAAACACTTCACGAGAGGTCACTGCCGCTATTGCAATCAACGTGAAGGCGGAAAACACAATCGCACGATGTGACGAGAAGGTCTAGAAGCGACAAGCAATTGTCTCAAAGTCCCGATTCAGCTTCGAAAAGTCGCCTTGGACACCTGGCGCTCTGGCATCATCAAACTTCCAACCTGTTTCCCCAAATATGAGTTCCTCCACGGGGCCCAAAAAAGTATTCGCATATTTAATTCTGGATCAGGCTGATGTGACGATACTCTGTGGCGCCGACGATCGCTGTCAGAATCCGTATTCGGAGGGGGCATTATACATCATCATCATCATCATCTTCTTCCTCTTCTCCTCCTTCTTCGCGGACCCTCACAAAGCCCACTTGTGAGCACCTTGGCCTCATCTCGCAAAAAAGAGAAGCTATCCACGACACCTACCGTCTACGCTTCTGAACCTGGTTGAGCCAGCTGGATAAGGAATTTCCTGGGCCCTTGCTTCAAAAATACTGGTACCTTCCAAAGCGTTGCACATCCATGATTCCCCCCTCTGAACGGGAAATGGCGGTGGGGCCTCCCCATGATTGAGATCATTTCTCGCGATGATTCGCAAGTGCTACGACAGGGAAGCACTCTGGAGACAGCTTATGGTTACTCAAGAGGACGTCGCCGGATTGGCTGGGCGCGGGCCAATCTGACCGATGTTTTTCTCCTAGGACCCCAGGCTCTGGATCACACCATGGAACCGCGCAATGACCGAACAAAGAATAGAGAAAGACCTGAATCTCAATCGGCCGAGCGACAATGGGACAATGCACATCGTCATTGCAGATGAAGACACCTTTGGTGGTGTGCCTGTTGTCAACTGCTCAAAACCACGCCAGCGCCTGCGCAAATGCTGTGCTTCTCCCTGCAGTCGCACGATCCCGAAATAAACCGGTCCAGCGCTAGATCTTTCGTCGACTCCTCTGAGCTGGCACATTTTCCATCGGTCAACGGATAACAAACGGCGTTGGCGCCGTGGCGGGAGCGCAGAGCAATGGCTTGATTCCCGAGGACAGTGGCGGCACCCGAGCGATTTTTACGGCGTCAAGTAACAGCTCTAAGTCCTCACACAAGACTCAGCATCATCTACGGTGTGGGGGAATGGAAAAGACGTGATGACGATGAAAATCCTGGTCTCGCTGGGCAATGATTGGCAAGCGCATTTCCCACGTCGCCCACGTTCCGGCGGAGAGGGATCCAACACCCAAGTCTGCTGCCTCGTCCCCGGTCGCCCCGTGCAGCAGGCCAGCAAAGGAAGAGAAACATGGCAACCAAACAACGCAACATCGACCAGATCTTGGCGTCAACGATGACCTGGAGATTCTGTGGCGGCTCTGACTGGTCCTGACTCTGCCATCTGCTCACAAGTTCGGATGAGTTGTTTTCCAATGCGCCAGGATACGCTGTTCCTGCATATTGCTAGCAGGGGTTCTGAAGGCGATCTGCCAGGGCTCTGCAGGCACGAACCAGTGGGAGCTGCAGGCTGAGAAGACCAAGAAAATCTAGAGCAAGGTCCCGTCAGCGAAGCCGCGAAGCGCAAGCTTGCGCCGTGCAGTGCCGGCCCACCGCCATGTCTGTGTAGCCAATCACCCGGGCCACCACCGACGACGGGATCCTGCATCCTGCGGACCCAATTTTGGACACGATCCCTTCCTGGGCTTTGGTGCCGTTGCCCGGACTGACCAGCCGCTTCTGGTTCGTTGACCCAAGGCCTGGCCCTGGGACATCGGACAACACCCACAGGCCTCATCTCACGTTCTCTCTACGCTCCTCTTGCCTTCCCGGGGCTCTACGGATGCGGATGCCCTGCTTGGATGCTTTCAATGGGACATCTGAGATAGAGAGAGACACGCGAGAAGAGCCGGACCCTGTCATGCTTGTCCGCAATAGCCTATCTTTCAGCGTTCAAGGATCAGCTTGTCGTGTCTACGAGTCTCATCTCCTCAGCAAGCTCAGCTTCTCCTCTCCACTTCGTACTGTGGTACGGATAGGACTCTCTCACAACTCTGACAGTTGGATCAGCACGACAGCAGGAAGCAGCGTCGCATTCCCCCAAGGCAAGGCAAGGAAGGCCTCCACGGCCATTTCGCCCCTGGGGTTGTTCGGCTTGCAGCCTTGCTAGCTTTGGTAGCGGTTATTAGCATAATAACACTAGGAAAAAAAGCAAAAGCAAAGCCGAGCAAAGCGCACAGAGCGACGAGTCTGGCCCCCTTGTCCTCGCTCGCGCGCCCACTAACCACCCACACCCTTCTCTTTGGCCGCGTCGACGACCAACGGGGGACAACGGGGGAGGGATGGGGGTCATCGGGACGGGACCCTACAGGCACAGGCATACCAGAGACAGGAAACGCCGTGTCGCCCAACGCTCGCAAAATTTCCGCCAGCCCACACGCCCAGCAGCGCTTGTGCTGGGTGCCCAGTTGCCCACACAATCAGTCCTGCTGGAGACGGGGCGCCGGGGGCGGTAGGAGGAGTCAGGACTCAAAGGACCTGTGTCGTGCTTGTTCGGCCGAGTCGAGAAAAGGAGAAATACCTCGTCTGCCCCCTCCCACACGCCTTACACTCTCGCTTCTGTTTCCTCACCGTTGCTCTCCTTACCGCTGCGTTCAGTGCCCACACTCTCTTGCAACTGCTCTTCGTCATCGTGCCTTTTTTACTGCACATTACTCTCATTCACACTTATCAATATCGACAAGACAGTACCGTCATTCCCTTGACATTGCATTCATTAAAGGCACACGCCCTGAACGCCCGCACACAACTCAACCCGGTGGAAACTCGTCAGCTTTGGTCATACGTTGACTTACACCGCCTCTCAAAGCCTACATAACTTATCCAACCAACGTCAATCAAAATGCGTTTCACCAGCATCTTCGCTCTCCTGGCTGCCTCGGTCGCCGTCGCTCAGTCCGCGGATGAGAGCACCACGACCATGACCGCTACCACCACCAAGACGGTCACCATCACCAAGTGCAACCCGACCAACACCGCTTGCCCCTTGTACACGCCGACTTCGACTGTTGCGCCTACCATCAACTCGACGACCTCCACTCCCATTTCCACCTCCACCTCGTCGTCTTCCTCTTCTTCTTCGTCGTCGTCCTCATCGTCGTCCCACTTCTACCCGGCTGCCAACTCCACCAGCTTTGCTGGCCCGACCGCCTCGGCTCCTTGGACCAAGTCTACCGTTCTTCCCATTAAGACCTCTGCCGACTCTTCTGCCCCCACCTCTGCAGGCAGCGTTGTGCCTTCCGCACCTGCGAGCGCCGGCTCTGGTGTCTTCGTTCAAAGCGGTCTCATGGCCGCCGTTGTCGGTCTTGCTGCTCTCGCGCTCAACTAGACGGTTCATCTGGTCGCCAGAGAGCAATTTACAACGCGCACCTCTCAGTCACTTCACATTAATTCGATTCACGACTGATATCACTATTATTCTCAGGGGATAGGCTGATTGGAGACCTTTTGTTTTATCAACGATTCTGGGTGTTTTGGAAAGCGGATTGGAGCCTCGGCTACCGGGTGGCCTTACACTTCTAGCCATAGACTTATTGTTTGGGTGTCAGATGAGTTGGAGGAGTTTATACCTACTGGGACATGATTGCAGACATACCCGACAGATGATGCACATACTCATACTCTATTTTCTGAATGAGACGAACCTATGATGACCTCACATTTTGCCCCTCTTTGGCTCTGGAATGCAATGACTGTGGTGAAATGACGCACGATCGGGCTGTTTCAATGTGAGATGTTTGCGGAGGCATTTGCCTGATTCACCATGTGTGTATTCGAGCACAACAACCGGAGGGTCTTAGTATACTCTACTTGTAACCCACCTCGCAGCTCCATTCGTCTACTGGGGCATAGGCAGGTTACGATCAGCTCAGAGTGAACGCTGTCCGGACAGCCGGGGATTAGTTTGTGCAAGCAGAGAGCAAATGGCTCCTTTTTCCTGCGCTTGCATGGGTCAAACTTGACAGGATGAGTTCCGAATGCTCTAGACTTTGGGAAGGTTTGACTTGCAGCAGAAGGAAGCATCTGAAATGGGTGGCTAAGACAGTACCATTGTCTAAGCCTCCAAGATGAAGCAAGGCCAGGCACTGCCGGCCGTTGATTTTCTCTGATTGTAAGGTGGGCCAATGGCAAGCCTCCAGACGCCAGTCTTGGTACTCCGTCAGTGCCTACCTTTTACCTTAGGGTATGTACGGAGTAAGTAAGGTAAGTAGATTGCCTACCTTGGACCATCTCAACGGTACGGCAAGGCGTGGCAGGCTCGTCACGCTGATTCGCCCACGTGGTTGCCTTACTAAAGGAACGGGCCGCTTTCTAGGTCACCAGTAGTCTGCCTATCAACAAAGACATCCGACGACTCCTCATCATCTTTGTCGGGATTTCTGCTGTTTCCAACACTTTCTTCACTTCCCAACTACCAGTACTTTGTACTCCATGGGTTTCCTCACTTCCACGTTGATCTCCGGTGGTACACGGATGATTGCGCTCGTCGGTCCTTGTTGTACTACATGGCACATATCAAGCTCGACGGCGTCTCCCCCTCCTTCGGTTCCCGACAGCAGTTGTGTGCCAATCGAGTATCAACAGCGGCACGATCTCGGCGGCATGCATCCCTGCAGAGATCACTTCGATTTCCATCATGCAGAATACGTCAGTAGACTTCTCTCGGTGATGGCGACTAGTCCGATTGTTGGGCGGAATGGAGCACAGCAGTACATGTAAGCAAATATATTAATGTATGCGGTGTAATGATAGCGCAGAGCTCGAGATTCCTTTTGCCTCCTTTTTCAGCTACTCGCACCGCGCCGAATGCGAGACACAAAATCCACCCTCCAAAGCCAAAGAACTCCCCAAAACCTATCCAGCCGACTCCTATCACGGCAGATCACGCTCGCGGCCGTATTTTATGCACACAATAGCCGCAGCTAGCTGCCGACATCCGGAAATATGTCGCATCATCGTTGCTCCAAATCAACTCGAAACCAAATCCTCTTGCTTCGGTAGCAATCCAGTCGAAATTCCAGCTCGATACGCTACACATGCGACTTAGACGTGGCGTACCTGTTGCCCTTATACTGCGTCTCGAATTGTGCACGGAGGGTAAAAAAGCCATTGTCTAGACCCACGAGTCCGGTATAGCTGCTCCTTTGGTCTTCAACCCGAGCAATTGCCTTGCTCGCAGCTGTCGCATAGGGTCTTGTTCCATGGTACAATGTTATTGCAACCACAGATACCCGACTTGTTGTGGGCGCAGACCTTGTCTGCCATGGCGTTTGCTTGCGGCTTGACAGTGGGCCGGGCAGGCGTCTTGAGCGTATCAATCATGATTCGATACACGGTTTGAGTTTGCTGGGTCTTTCTTTCCCTTCGCAAAACCTTGCCTGAAGTTGAGACGGTCTTGTCTGGCGCTGTTCAGCCGTTCGGATAGTGTTTGACGGCTCGGCCCGTCGAGAATGCTGTGACGGAGAAACTGGGGCTGCCAAGTTTCAATGACGGGAGTGCGCAATGCGACGAATGATGAGGAACAGACGGTGGGTTCTGGATTGCAACGCGACACGGGGGTCTCTTGAGGCTGAGCAGTTCCGGTTGCCAAAGAGCTATCTGCTGCCGACAAAGTTTTTCTTTCCTGTTGATCGTCGGCTCCATCGTCCTGGAGGAACAGGATGCATTCGCTTATATATGTTTTGCATATGACGGCACCACACACACTCTTTCCACACACACGCACTTCGTCTCCCTCTTGGTCTCTGGCGCGCGCGCACACACACACACACACACACATGTTCACTTACATCTGACAGTCGACCCGCGCCTACATGCGGGCGACGAGACGCACAGGAGCCATGCAGGGTGGCACTGAACATACATCACTTGTAGCCAACATCTGGCTAGCTCCCACGCACTTGGGTCGCGGCATTTCACCAGTTCACCAGCACCATGGAAGTGTGCCGCTCTGCTGGGCTGAACTATATTGCGCACCGTGCTGGTCCTTTGCAATGGTAATGCGCACCATCGCAAGATCCTTGGTTTTGATCATGTATGTTTGCTGCGAACCTCCTGGTCGCGAGCCCCTCCCCGACAGGAGACTTACTACAGAATGACCCTGTCGGCCAGGATGAGGCGAAGCCAAACTTGGCGCAACGACCAGCAGCCGACTTCAGGTCCGAGACCTGATACCGAAGCTTCAGTTTCTAGAGAGGAGTTTCCTGAGAATTTGCTTTGTCTGCACGCCAGAGCCGCACTGTTTACACTCTTAACCGCCTCAAGACTTGGCTATTGCTGTTCACTCTCGAAATAGCCTTTACCGTCACGCCTCCAGTCAATCACCTGATGATATTCATCTCAACACACGAGATCAAAGAATGGGCTGTTCTGGCGCAATACCGCTGTGAAATTTTTCCAACGGAGGTGCATTAGTGGATCGTAGGAGGACGGAGTACCTGACCGAAAGCCCATTGACATTCCCACTCTGTTACGCTGCGTGGCTGCGTGGTGGAAACCCTTGCCCATGGTCCGACGTGATATGGCCGGGGCCTGGAGCAACGAACAGACTTCTTGCAGCTTCTCAATACAAGTTCATTTGTGTTGACCATGGGCCGGGCCAGCCAGCTGAACATCGACTTCTACTCGACTTGGTCTCCTTTCTCGAGCGAAGTCTTGTTCATACATAGGATCTTTCTCAATGTCTCGACAATGCCCACCACCATCTTGTTCGCCGGCGCGAAGCGGCGGCGGAGAGGAGAAAATAAGTCAGTCCTGGCACTGATATGGAGACCACCGACCCAAGACAGCGTTCTGTACTTTCTACGACTTCTTCCACTGGCCAGTCTCCAGTAATTGACAGGGTCAAGGGGATGGGTACGTGTTCCTTCATCATCAAAACGGCAACTTACAACTGGACGAGCCGTTCGAGGGCACGCGGTTCGAACAAGGTGAGTAAAGTCTGACAGAACCGTTAGCGGAATTTCTTCACTAGAACGGTGAACCCCCAGGAGGTTCACCACGAGATGGGATGGAGGGAAGGATGGGATGTTGTGCAGATGGGGCCCCTTCTGCGAGTGCGACGGGCTACGCCATGGAACACACGGCTATGTCAGGCACACTAGACGTTTGCGCGGCAGCAAAACGGTAACCCCCCCCCTCCGGAATTCTGGGGGTTAAGCAGAGCATATCCACTCTGTTACCCCTTCAGGCTTCCGGGTCTCCAGAGTGTGTAAAGAACACTAACCCTCTTAAGGCTTTCCGACGTTGTGTTGAGGGAAAAGCAGGGGGTGTTGTAAGGCCTAGGTAAGCTGTCACTTTTCAACTTTTTTTTTCGAGGAGCGCCGAAGCCTCCACCACCCATCACCCCCAGTTTGAATTTCAGTGTGTGTGGAATGTGAATGGAACGTTGTGCTCGTGGTAGTAGGAGGAGAGACTTGCCGATTGCAACCACGGCTGGCTTTCTTGGTGTTGGTTTTTGGTATCGCCTGAACAACTTTATCTACGGAGTATTTGTATATGATATGAGCATGAGGAGGGGCATTGGGAAGAAACCCCATGGGCACACATGGCTTTGTACCGAATCCCAGCAAGCGAACGTACAACGGTCGTCTCACGTCAAAGCGTGTTTTTATTTTTTTCACAAACTGCCATGCAGCGCACAGTAAGCGCGGTCGCATGCTGCGCCAGACCCCCCACTCTCAGAACCATGTCGCTGGGATCGTTGAGGCAACAGAAGCCTTGAGTCTGAGTGCCTGGCGGGTCGCGGAACAGGTCCTGAACTGAATTGAGTGACAGACCGGGGGGCAGCCGGGCTACGGATACCTTATGGTTGCGGCACAGCGCCAGTTGGTTCTGTACGAAAGGATTTATGGTATTTTCGTTATTCCGCTCTTTCCCCCCCTTTTTTTTCTTTCTTCCCCCGTCTCCCCTGCTTCGCCGGGGTTCCAATCAATTCTGTAGCGGGGACGTAGGATTTCGTCGCCTGTCGTGCTGCAGGATATCGGTAGACGATGGGTGGTATCGCTTGGAAGTTGTGTGCGGATATGTCTGTCCTCGATTGGCAGGTTGTTCATACCCGCGTGGGATGTTGATTGACTTCCCTCCTTTCTCTCGGACTCGATCGTGGGCTTCGAGCTAAAGCGATACGATGAACCATTGGTCCTCCGTCTTTTGCCTTGTGCCCTTAATTTGGAAATCTGGGGGCATCTGAAGTCGAAGTTGAAGATGGGAACACTATGATTGTAATGTTTTCTGTTCGTCACGTGCAAAGACGTGAAAGTAGGCCATCTTTCGTCTTGCATCGTTCTAGTCTCTGCTATGTGTTTGTCCAGGTACAACGCTATACTTGCGGCACGCCGGTCAGCCATCTCATTCTGTCCTGAAAGGGGAGAGCCCTGGAAACAACATGAACTCTTGTACTTGAGGTGAGATTTGGTGAGATTTGGGTAGATCCAAATGCGATGTGATGTAGTGGGATGAGATGAGATGAGATGTGATATAATTTCGGTATGATGAAGTGAGAAGAGAGAGATGACAGAATGGTGTAGAGAGATTCTTTTCCATCGTGCTTCTGTATTCTGTTACGTCTCTTCTGTCATGTATAAGTACAGCGCTCTATGCTTGCCGCCCTTTGGTAATAGTCTCTCCAAGAGAGATAGGGGAAGAATCTTCTGTAAAGAGGCGACATTGGCATACGGACTCTCCCTTTCTTTGCTCTGTAGTGAAAGATGGGATAGTTAGAGAAAGGGAGCTTCTCCTATC